TTGTTGTAGGTTTTGTCAGCTCCGCATGAATCTAATTAGGTCCATGAGTTTCTTCTACAGCTTTGATCTGAGCATGTGATTTTTTTTTAAATCACTTGAAAAACATTGACATGTTATCGATTAAGACCCTGCAAGGACAAGACCAGTGTATTTAACAAGGGAGCCTAAATTGTTCATGGGAACATAGCGAAGAAGAGCCGAAGTTCTGGAAGGATCCACAGCAGGGTCCAGATCTCCCATGTGTAACTCTCCATATGACAGTGTCTGTAGGCTGTACCACGCCATGTGAGAAGCAAGTAAGTTGCACACGTTCTGTATTCCGGAAATGAAGACTTGGCAGGTGAAGGTGTTGGAGGTTTAACCCTTGCAACAATTCTTCATGTGGGTTGACTGTTTGGAACTGCTCCCACTCAGGTTGGTAACGGACTTGCTATCATCCTGGTCAGCTCTTTTCTTTACTTCCCTGGAAAGAGAAAGAGAGAGAGGTAGAGGCAGAGGTAAAAGTAGAGGAGGTAGAGGAGGGATTACTGAGGCATAAACCTCAACCACAGATGGCTGTGGAAATAAAAGCAGCACTGCTAAACATTGCCATCCAGACACTGGTCTAAATGCTTTTTAGGTGTTGACTTATTTAATCACCACAAGAACCACATGGATTTGTTGTGCCCATTTTACACTGGGTATATGAGGCGCGCCCTTAGGTCACACAGCAGGAGAGGTCGTTCAGCTGGGATTCATAGCATGCAGGCTGGCTCCAACGCCAGCATTCTAAGCACCAAGCTGCGGACTCACATATGCACACATTCATGCATACACAGGTGCATACACACATGTACGTGCATAGGCACTCTCATGCTGAATACACAGAGCACACATGCACGCTCACACATGCACACACAGTTCACACATGCATGTTCGCGGGTGCATACACATGTATACACATACATGCACAGTCACACATGCATATGCAGACCCACATGCAAAGTTGCATATATATGTGTGTACACACAGACTCCTTTTGCTCTCTTTTATAGTTTCACATGCTTTAGTCTGCCACACACACAGCCTACTCCTTACTACCCTAGACCCGGCTCCCATCTCTGGCTGATACTTGCTGACATTAACAAGAAGCAATGCTGACTTAATTATACATGATCATGGAAGTAACAATGGATGGTTAAAATCCAGGAAAAAAAATTCCTTTTATATGTTCCTAAATTTTTTTTAGAATTAACAGATGCAATGCTGACTACAGGTCTCTGTGATCTTATCAAAGCTCCCTAGGAAAGTGTTCTTCCAAGTGTAGCCCCAGGGCGTGATGGTGACATATGAAGATCCTAACATCCCACTTTAGATAAGCCAAATGACCTGGGTAAGATGAAGGGGACAGCTAGTCCCCAAAATGTCCCCAAAAAATTCCTCTTTCCAGTCAGGCTTGGCAATTGTGCTGAAATGATATAACTGCCTGAGCTTGCTGTGTTTTCCTGAAATTTCAGGCCATTGCTCAGTTAAATATCTGTGGTATTTGAATACATGGAATAACATTTGAAGCACAGCCTTCCATTATTGATAAATTTACTTACCAGTGGACAAGGGTGTGTGGGTGTCCTAGCAGCTCAATAGGAAAATTTTGAAATTGCATTTCTAAGAGAAACTTTTCCTGGGATTGAGAGTTTTTCTAGGAACAAGCAAAGTAGCCCAGGGTGTCACATTTCTGGCCTCGCCTCCAAAAGGAATCCTACAGATGGTGCACATCCAGAAACTCATCTCGTTCACTTTCACGACATGATGTGGTGGGGAAGGCACCATGCTGGGAGTTATCTTATGAGATGTAAATGGAGAACGTACATGTTTTTCATTTTACCCAACATTCTAAAGGCTGTAAAACTTTGTAAATACCCATTTAACCTGGGGAGAATATACCGTGTCCACTTTGACAAGCAACTTTGAAGATGGAGTATAAAGCAAATTAGAGTATTAATACATTTTCTTTCTTTATAATGTTCATACTTAACACACTGCTAATAACTAATTTAAAGACCTTAAACCAGGCCATATGTAATACAAACAGTAAGAAACGCAGTGATAAGCGAGTCACAAGTGCCCTCGTTATTGAAATGCTGTGTGCACAGGTGTTTTACATAAGCCCAAACCTGTGTAGAAGCTACACCATAAATAGCCGCAGAAGCAAATGGGGATGGCCGGTTACAGCCTCTCCCATCTTTATGATATATAATAATAAAGGAAATCGATCCAGCACTCCGGGTGTGACCATGCAATTTGAAGCAATTTAACTTTAATATGACCCTATGATACAATTCAGCGTTAAAAAGCGATTATACTATTCAGGAGAGTATAGATGGTTGTATATACAATCAGACTGTTGGATCTATATGGGGCCTAGGAGATCATTTCCTTCAGCCCCACCCTCATTTTACAGATTAGAGAAGCCCACAGGACCACAGGGTCCCGTTCAAGACTTCACAGCAATTGAGGGGTAGATATAAGGCTGGACTTTGAGCCTCCTGACACCACAATCCTTCAAAATGCTGGGAAGCAGCCCACAGCCATGCACAGGAACTGCTCAGCAGCCCCCTTTCCTACTAAGACAGAGTAGCAATTAAGCACCACACTGCTTAAAGCTGAGATAACACTGAGCCCTGCCTAGCTTCGGGCCCAATTGTGCTCTAAAGCAGCGATCACCAACCTTTCAGACCTCACAGACCACAGGTTAGCAACCTCTGCTCTAAAGACCTGCAGGCCCTTCCTATACCCATCTGCCTCCCTGGGCACACACCATCAACTCCATCCAGGAATTCTCATGCACATTTTAATGAAACACCAATACAACCGAGAGAAAAAAAAAGGGGGGGGGGGGCACCTACCAATCCAACATCGTTAGTTCATTTCATTATTTCATTAATTCTTCCCCCTTTCCCACTTACTGAATATATCCTGTCTGACCAAAATGGCTGTGCACCCAAAAGTGCACGGAATCCATTCTTTCACCTAATTTCTGAAGATTTTATTTTGGCTCCTGACAAATGTGATATTAGCCCATGATTCTCCTACTAAGCAAAAGCAAAAAAAAAAACACAAAAATGTAATTAACTTGACTTTATATGTTTAAATATTTGTTTGCCTTTTTTTTCTGCTGGTATTCAAAGTTAGCACTGTTTTGCTTTAAATAAAAATGATTTTCAGATTTCCAGTGTGGTGGGAACAGGTGGCTCTCTCTCTCTCTCTCTTGGATTGATGTCAAAGGAGATAATGTTCAAAGACTGAGTTCAAGCTCAGAGGCATCTTTCAGGCCCTGCCACAAACCAATAAGTAGGCTATTTAAAGTCCTGCGGGCCCTTTCCTGATTTTCCCAGGCCACAGTCTCTCCAGGGCCCCAGGCCAAGTCTTCTATTAATAGAATTCTATTCTAAGAAGCACTATACATATCAAGTCACTAATACAAAAGCAGAATTTAAAACACTGCAAGGAATTTTAACTGTGAATGTATACTAGCAGAAGAGGCCAATTATCGTACTAAAGTCAAGATTCTTGTAAAACCTCATAAGTGATCAGTAAAAGCACTATATACACTGAGTGGCCAGATTATTATGACCTCTGAATGCTTAATAATCTGGCCACTCAGTGTATATCCTATATAATAAAAGGCTAATATGCAAATTGTTTCCTCTACCAGGAGTTAGACCAGCAGGCAGGCCACCCAACCGCCCATGTCCCCTCCCCCTGGCCAGGCTAGCCAGACCCCACCCATGCACGAATTCATGCACTGGGCTTTATATATATATATATTTACATACACACACACACGAATGTACCTACAATTACGTTTTTGCTTTGTCAGCAATTAAAGATCATAAGCCTGGATTTTGTTAACACACATTTTGATTTTTTCTTTCTTTTTCTTTTTAATATTTAATCCCTTTATCAGTAAAGAATCATGGTTTCATTTGTGACAGAAAACTAGGCAGAGGAGATAAACATAACATACCATGTTGTTATTTTGTAAGAATACTCTAAGAATTAAAACACATTTATATCCAAGTTGCTCAATAATGCAATGTTCCAATTTACATTCCAAAATGTTATTAACACCATTACCTTAGCTAAGTAATTACCTGTGTAATAAATTTAACAAAGTGATTCCAACTGGCACACACACAATTTGTTTTATTGAAGTTTCCTTTCCTTTATCCTTGAAAAATGTCATAATACTTATATTCATAATAGTCTCTGGTGTTTAAAATATGGTTCCTGTAATTTATTCATACGTGTCAATTATTAGCTTTGTGGTGACATTATGCCAAAACATCAATGACACCTCAGATGCATCTGCTTTGTTTGGCAGTAAAGATATGCTTGTCAATGTTCACAGTGAATGTGCAGCATTACCAGTCTTTATAACGTCTATTTTAATTGTTTCTCTAAGCACTGCTGAAAGAGAAGCCAATGTTTTCCAATATAGAGTCATGTCATGGTCAAGAGGTTTGACATGAGCACCAACTAAATGAAAACTCAAGTCTATATCCAGTTTTCCAAATAAGAGACAAAACTTTACCGGGCAAGATGGAGAACAGCTTCCACTACATTCGAACCATCTTTGGCACTTGTTTCACAGAATAATGCCCCATAGGTCTGTGGGAAAAAAACAGACACTATGAAACAAAACCCTTGTTTAGGTTTCCTGAAATTTTAGCTTATAAATCAATAAATAAGATAAAAATATTTTCCTATTGAGTACACTGAGTGAGTAGTTTGATTCAGAGTTTCATAATTAAAAAGAAATAACTAGTTTGAATCCCATTATTCTAGAAATAGTTCCTAGACACATGAGTTTTTAGTTTGCATTAAAAACACACACACACACACAATATAAAATTTCTTGTTTTAAATACTTATTTTCAATAGTTGTACACATGCTATCCAATGTTCGTAATCAAATCATTTGAGAGAGATAAAAAATGATAACATACACTCAGGAATAGAAAGTCCATCAAAAGTATGTCTGCTTTTGGTCAGCAGCTAAAACACATCCCCTTTCACACTATCCTTTCCTATCAAGATTCAGCAGTCTGCATGTGGCTAAAACCAATGGACATTTTCTAATCCTCTATTATTCAACCTTCCAGAGGGTATGTGTGTGACCACTGCTCCTATCACTCTCCTGCTTCCAACCCCTCAGTGCTTCCCTTCCAGTCAAGTCATGTTCAAATGCTTTACAAAGGCCAAAAAGACCTAGCTTATATGTGGCCCCAGCCAGCCTCCCAGCCTTACTTACCACTTTTCTCTCTCACTCATGATGCTCCAGTTACCCTGGCCTTCTCTCCTTTCCCCAATGCTCCAAATTCCCTTCCATCTAAGGGCCTTAGCACCTGCTGTTCCCATTACCTAGGTTATCCCCTACACCCATTAACCCTCTTCTCCAGAATGACTCTCACCTATCTTTGGATCTTAGGTAATCTTCCCTTAAAATTAAGATTGTTTCCTAACCCTCCACAGGCCCTATTAGGTCTTCTTGTTATAAAACCTCAGAGCCATCTGTATTCATCCTGCGTAGAACTTATCACAATTGTAACTGATAAAGTTTCTTTTGTGTGTCTTTATCTAACAAGCTGGAGACAGTGTCCCTTAGGAAAGGAGAATGTCATGTGCTGTGGGCCTGGGTGAGGGTCATTTGTGGAATATAATGAACAACATAAACTGATGAACAAAAACAGAGACAGAGAAGCATTGATCAAACCATCAAACCTCAGAGTGAAGGTAGGAGAGGGTGGGGGTAAAGGAAAGAGATGAACCAAAGGACTTGCATGCATGCATATAAGCCTAACCAATGGACACAGACACCAGAGGGTAAGGGCAGGAGTGAGAGGGTTGGGGGGGGGCACCACAGGGGGATAAGGACACATATGTAATACCTTAATCAATAAAGAAAAAAGAGAGACAATTACAAAAAAAATTAATCACAAAATGAACGGATTTCTGGTAAAAATGGGTAGTGCTGCTACTGAGTTCTATAGTCATGATGCTATGGGTGAGGCAGAGAATGCCTTTGAGGAAACAGGAGGGTATACATGACGAGATAATAAGTAAGCAAACCTTGGAAACTGAGAAAGCATGGGACAGGAATAACACTGGTAAGCAGACAGAAATGATGAGGTCTCTAAAGTGGCTTGTGAGATCTCTAGAGTTTGATGTGGGATTATATATGTCTAATATCTGTCTCCCCCAGACAACAAATACAGGAGGACTGTCTTTTTTTGTTCTCTGTTCTTTGCTCAGCACACATGATGCAGACAATGTGTCAAATGAATCTCTTCTGTATTCATTGTCTAGTTTTGATGTTTATCATATTTGGTTCACAGTTCCTAAATTTAAAACAAGCATGATCTCCCAACTCAGAATAGTGAAATTCAAACTTCTTTTTAAAGTGCACATGGATTTGCTACCAAGAAGTCTTTCATGGTGCTGATGACCTTCAACGATGATAGCAGTGTCACACGAGACTGCTATGGTTGTGAACTTCACATCTCATCAAGAAGCATCTGATTCCTTGTAGGGTAGGACAAGTCATAAGGGGTATTCTGACATGGTGGTAACAATAGGATGGTAAACACTGCCCACAGTAGTCAATAGGATGGTAAACACTGCCCACAGTAGTCATTACTCCCCACAGGAGTAAGCTCCATCCGCTACACAAATGAAAAACCAAAAACAATTCTAGACTCTTCCAACTAAACACAAACCTTAGAGGGGGGGAGGGGGGGAGAACACACACACAACACAAAAGTCTTCCTCTTCCCACCAGATGGATGACATGTTGCACCATCTTCTGTCCCTTGGCATTGCAACCCTCTGGAACCAAGCCCATCTTTTCAAAATAGGACACCTGTTCTTTTTCCTTTGGCTGGACACAAGGACTAGAGAAGGATTCCGAGAACTGGGTGAGAGTGAGGAGGAAGACGTGATAATTCTGGCTCTGCTTTATCAATGGTAGGCAATGGGAGGAAAACATAGAGGGATTGATTTACATCTATGAGGGATTTAAATCTTGGTGCAATTACATAAATTTATAATGTGGGGACAGTGAGATTTCTTCCTGTATAAAGACAAGAGCCCCAACAAACAGGGTGCAGGCTCATCAAAGAACCTCATTAGCAAAGGTGGACAAAAGCGAAAAACTCCTTCTAACCTGGACCGGTTCTCACTCTTACCATGGCCAGCTTTTCCCCAAAGTATGCCGGGACGCACTTCTCTCCCTCTGCAGCAGCAGACTCACGAAGATCAGTCTTGTTTCCCACCAAAATAGTAGGAATGCTCTCACTGGCTGCATCCTACCACAAAGAAAAGGAAAAAATATGCACACATCAAACACTGGACAAGTGAGGACAATGAGGACAGCAGCAGTCGTGTCCAAAAGCCACACGATGCATTGATACTATCTTTAAACTCCCCCCAACCCCCCATATCTCTAAAAAGAGCTAAACACTTTCCCATTGCCAGGTGAGGACACTGACATTCAAAGGTTTTTAATAGGAGCTTGTAAAGGCCTGGGCCAGGGTCTAAATTGATTGTATCCCCCTTCCTGATACACAAACAATATAAACTCAAGAAGCATAACCTCATCATTTCCTACAACTTCCATTCGGCACAACAGTGATCACAGGTCCACTTCATTATCCCAGATATAAAACACGTAAGTAAATCCCTCAGCTATTATGAGACCAAAATGGAGTTTGGAAGTTCCACACTCGCCGCTATCTGGTTTTACAAAAACAGCAAAGTAAGAAGGTCCTTGCCCAAACTGGTTTGGCTCAGTGGATAGAGCGTCAGCCTGCGGAGTGAAGGGCCTCAGGTTCGATTCCAGTCAAGGTCATGTACCTTGGTTGCAGGCATACCCTCAGTACAGGGTGTGTAGGAGGCAGCTGATCAATGTTTCTCTCTCATCGATGTTTCTAACTCTCTATCTCTCTCACTTCCTCTCTGTAAAAAAATAAGTAAATAAATAATCAATAAAATATATTTAAAAAAGAAGGTCCTAGAAGTCAACATTTTTCCCATGAGGAGTCAGTCTATTCAAAGCAACAGCTTCTCAGGATACTGCTTCCAAGACAGCCCAGGCCACTGTCACACTGCCCCACATTCTCAGTGGATCTGGGGCGAGAGGCAGAGCTGAGTTTGAGACCCCATCCTCCCACCTCCTGGCCATTTATTGGCTTGTGAAATCAGGCCAGTCTTTTCATGTTTTTGCCTCAATATCCATGTGTGTACAATGAAGAGGTTAATTAAAGGCACATGCCATCTCATTAACCTATAATGAGAATAAAGAAATATAACCTGTATTGCACAGAAAAAAATGGATTTCTGGTTCCTAAACAGGAGAAGCAGCAGTCCTGGCTAAAACATTACTCTTTGCAGTGCCTAAGGACACTCAGATGCTCATGCCATTTGGTACCGGACACAGGATCAAGAAATCAGCCTTAAACATAACGAAGGTATCTTTGTCTCCCCTTCTCTTCACACTCCTTGCCTCTAACCTGGGGGTGGTAAGGGCAGCAGAGAGAGGGAGTCAAAGGCTCTCTCCAGACCTTCCCCACCCATCCACCGGTGTGTTAATTAATTATGTTCTTTGACACTCTTCTAGTGATCTAAGGGATGTCATTTGGAAGCCAGTAAGCAAATATTCTCTTAAGTAAGCTAAGAACCCAGCATCCAAATGACTTCCCAAACCACACAGGTAAATATTAATATCTCCTTCAAGTCTTGATTCAAATAGCACCTTCTCGGGAGGCCAGGGCTACACTAATGAAAACTGCATCCGCTACCTCACCAGGAGGCCCTTCACCCTGCCTTCTTTTTTACTGTAACATTTATCACGTTCCCTCATTGTACTTATTTTATTCATTTATGTTTGTTTCTTGTTATGTCTCTCTTCCTGAAATACAAGCTCCATAAGGACAAGGCTCTTTATTAACAGATATCCCAACAGAGGAGGTACCCCCAAAATATTTTTGAATGTGTAAACGTCAGGGTGAAATCTCATGTCTCAAATGTCTCCATTCGACTTTTACCCAAACATTCAATCAATAAATGATTCATGACAGATAAGTAAAATGGGCATAATTTTATTTTACCCATGATTTTATGATAATAGTTTGTAACCTAGTGCTTCTCAATGGAAATGTATTAATTATTAATTATTAATTCAGAGGGACTACTTACCACTGACATTCTATTTCCTCTCAACCCTCTACTCTATCCTGGTGATCCCACAATTAGATATTTATTCAGTGGCCATATAAATTGTCCCTGTAGAATTTCCTCAAATTGGAAAGGGTGAGCCATGGCTAAGGTTCATTGCGCCCATTATTTTTCTAAGATGAAAGTTAAATGCCAAGTGCACTCCAATTTTTTCTCTATAACAAATCCAATAATTCATCTTGAATACAGTTTTCTTATTCTTTGGACCTTGTGAAAGGGGCTACCAGCAGCTGAAAAGGTCACTTACCCTGTGCAGATTGCTCAGCAAATTAGGCAGTGGGCTCCTGGCATACACTACAGCTGGTCACTAAGGGCTCCTTCAAGGCTGTGGCTGGCCCTGCCTCTTATACTTCCTTTTCTTGAACATAACCCAAAAGATTTAAAATGAAGACTAGTTCCAACAATTTCAACAAGTTTTGCTCTAATTTTAGTTACCCATGTGCATGAATTAGTTGGGATTTTCCATTATTCTCTGGGCTTACTGCTCTGTCCCAGGGATATCCACTTGAGTACATGCCTCTCCTTCATGAGCTGACTACACTTCAGATTCCTTTCTGGACTTCAAAAGCTTCTTCTCACTCTGATGCCTTATCAAGGAAGCAACCAGATTGAATCAGAAGGTCTCATTCTAGCCCCCATTCTGATCCTACCCTCGATATAATTACCAGCCAGTGCCATATACTTCCTATGCCTCAGGTTTTTCATAATAAGCACAAATAATACTATGTTTCTTCCTTTCTCAGATATGTTACTGAGATGAATATGACATAGAAAATTTTTATGAAATAAAAAGTTATATAAATGCCTACACATTTCACTATATTTAAAATTTTAAGTCATGATGTTCAGTAGGATAATATAAACATTTATTTATCACTAAGTTTTACTGTCAATACAATGTCACTTCTCATATCATTTTTTTTTGTACAGGGTATGAAATAGGCCCAAATGAAGAATTAAGAAACAAACTGAAGATCAGACAGGAATAAGTTCTCTGTCTAGCTACCCCTGCACTTAATACCTGTTAAATATTACAGATAATAGACCTATTTGAAAATTTTTATTAGCCATTAGTTTCAGGTATTTTTCTCAAGTAGGTATGCTGAACCATAGCTTAAACTATTGTTTTACATTGATAAATAACTGTTGTCAGCATTCTAACTATGGTCAAATAATTTCCCACTTCTAAAAATTATTTACCATGAAACCAAAGGAAATGAAAGCTCTTCAATTTAAAAGAAAGCACAAATAGTACCGCACATGTTAAAAATACCAACTGGTTTTTCAATGGTACTTTGGGATGTGTAAAGACCCAAATCACTACCGGAGTGAGGGAGAAAATACAGCTGTGACAGAATGAGGCTCATACCAGATGCTGTCTCACCTGTGTATCTAGTGTACATGGAAGCCCCTATACTGTGACCAGACTTTCTTAAAGCACTGCGAAACATGGGACAAATTGTTAAAAATCGGGACTGTCCCACCAAAAATGGGATGTCTGGTCACCTTACCCTGTACTCATCCAACCATGCTACACACCCAGCCCCTAAACAGACCCAACATGCTACCCACCCAGCTCTGTACACACCCTACATGCTACACATCCAGTCCTAACAGCTTCGTTTGTAAGAACTGCTGCTTCTCAGGTGACCTGCATTTCCATTTGCTTCTGATTTTATCTGTAAGGAAACCCAGAAGTTTTATTCCCAGAAGCTCCTTTAATTGTGACCCTTGGCCTTGCAAGAACTTGCCGAGAGAGAGAGAGAGAGAGAGAGAGAGAGAGAGAGAGAGAGAGAGAGAGAGAGAGAGAGAGAGATCCTGCCGAGTGTCCCTGGGAACTCTGCCTCCAACATTTCCTTATCTGTCACATCTTGGACCAATGGGTTTTGGTCACATTCCCTTCCACTAGGAAGAGAACCAGCATTTTCCAGCATGGCCTATAGCTCCCCATGCAATTTTCTGTCTCTCAGTTTTGATTTCTTACCTCAATCATATCCACCCATTCTCGTACGTTAAGATAGCTTTTCTCACACGTGACATCATACAACAGCAAGACTCCATCTGCTTTTCTGAAGTAGGACTTGGCAATACTTCTGAATCTGGTTAAGAGAGAAGCACTTACAGCACGGATCTAATCAGTCTGTTTGCTGCTGCTCCATTATTTGTTGCTTCTGTGCTTGCTCACCTTTTTCTCATCTTCTCAAATAAGCTCCAAGTGAAAAAAATTCAAGGGTAATGTATCACTGTGAAAATCATCTCCAAGGCCCAGTCTGACCCAGTGACAGGTAACAGGATGAGAATCTGGGCTACTGATTTTAAAAAGCCAATCATTTGCTCCACCAAACAACCCCAAGAATGTCTCCAAGCCCCAAAACATAACCAGGACAAGGATGGCACTGTAATTTCTGAAAGTTCCAGCCTCAGCTAAAACCTTCCAAAACCCACGAGTAGGATACCGAGAAGGGTGGAAGGAGATGCATGTTAGAGAAAATAGTCTTCTAGGCCTGAGGAGGGTGGAAGAACAATGTGGATGCCACCATGCATCAGGCACATTACATACATGGAGGTGAGGGACTCAGTAGGCGAAAAGCATACTGCTAACTTACATCTCTTTCTTTAAACCGAGTGCAATATTTTATATTTTATATTTTCTTATTTTATATTTTCTTAGGGCCACGACAGCCACAAGTAATTTTTAAATGTTGGAATGCTTAGTCTGCTGCAGAACAGGAGCTCCACGTGGGCAGGTATTTGCATCCTATTGTGAAGATCCACTGATGAATCTTAGCAGCCTAAATGGTGCCTGGTGCAGAGATAAGTAGGCACCCCTTACTCACTTGTTGAACAACTGGATAGATTCTGCTCCCAAAAAGTTAGACAATACTAAAACCTACGGGAAATCCTTCTGGTCAAAAGCAATAAATGCAAGATAAGGTACCATTGCCAAGTGTGAGTCTGCTACTTAGTTTGTGCCTCTGCCCTTAAACCAAGGGAAGCTGTCTTCTATTGTGCCCCACTGAGCAGCTCCTCACACTGACACCTCATTCAGAGGTATCATTATCATTATATGGTACATTATATTTACATAATGATAAGCATAGAAATCACTGAGTGGGCTGCGAAGCTTGTGTGTGTAAGCCTAAGCAAGGCCCAAGCTGCTCTCCGGAAAGCACTTGCCTCTCCTGACCGGCCGTGTCCCAGAGCTGCAGAACTGTGCGCTCTCCATCCACAAAGAGGGTCTTCATCTGAAAGTCAACGCCTGCAAAGGAACAGAAGAGAACACGAAGAGCAGGAGGTAAATCACTCCACTGGTTTTTACTTTCCAGTTCTCTTTAGATGAGACAGGAGCCAATAAAGCAAAGAGCCCAGCGAGATAGGGATAAATGAGTATGGCTTCATACACTAATTATCAGTCAGACCCCAAAACTGCACGCACGGGATGCACCACCATCCGCAGGCTGGCTGACTTGGGGAAGAATTTAGCCTATGGACAAAGGGAAAAATCTATGTTCTAATTGTCATGTAATTGGGGAACTGTTATATCTGTGTGCACATGTACATAAATACGTGTGTATATAGTTATGTATATATGCTATATACATATATAGCAACTGAACCGCATACTGGAGTCTTTTTATGAATCAAATTGAAGTGAACTTTCGGCTTTGTTATTTTGAGTGGTCTAAATAAAGAACCATAAATTTATAAAAATGCCCATTGTGAAGAGGGAAACCAATCTTTTCTAACATTTCTGGTTATCAAAATAAGATCATTTTAGATAAACAAGAAAAAGAAATGATAATTTGCATATCTTCAACTCCTACCGATTATTATGCAAATTTGGAAATTAGGACATAATTTCTGCCTTGTACTGAGAGGTAATGCATTCCATTGTAAAGGAGGGAGGTAGCAAACTTCTATGATTTTGACTAAAGTAACAAACTAGCCATCAGTAATGTCCCTTTAACAATATCAAACGACAGCTTATCAGAAAAGCTTTCCCTGGCCACCCTGCATAAAAGTGCACCTCTCCCTAAACCTCTTTTTTCTTTTATTTAAATTTGTTTTTCATCTATTTCCTTCCTTTGGGATGTAAACTCCTTCCAGGCTGAAATGTAGTCAACTCTGTTCATTGTGTATCCTTAGCACCTGTAACAGCAATGGGCTCACTGTAGGACTCAGGAAATGTTTGCTGAATAGATGAACCTGTTCTCTCAGGCTCTAAGCTCTAACCTGTCACTGACTGGCTAAGTAGATACCTCTGCCCTTTGTCAGTCTCCCTTTCCTAAATCTGGGCCTTTGCCAAAACAGGAGAGGACACGTCTATCTACATGTATGAGGAGAGAGATTGACCTGTGTATCTGTGTATATAACCCTGAAGAAAATAAAATCAAGTTAAAAAAGTAATTTCCCCATTAAAATATGAAAAAGGAGCCATACCCAGGGTGGCACTTGTATTTCCTCGAAATTCATTCTTGCAAAGTCTCATGAGGAAACTGGACTTTCCCACAGCGGCATCCCCCGCAAGCACAATCTTATAAGCCTTCTGTGAGCTGGAAGAGCTGTTGTCATCCGCCATGTCTGTCTAGGGGGAAAAGACACAGTGGGTGACAAAGGGGGTGCCGGTTTCCTTCCTAACAAGTGACAAGGCCCAGAAAATTATTTGGGTTCAGGAACCACCTACCTGGGGTGAAAGGGCCAAGATGGGTTTCCGTTGGTAACTAGCAACACTGCCTTCACTGGCAGGAGGCTTCCAGTCTAAGACCGAAGCCACACCATCTGAACCATACGTCTCTTCATCCCTTATATCAGGAACCTGTTTTGTTTAAAAAAAAAAAAAAGTTAGCTGGTAAAGCCTCTCATTACACATATACATCAGAGGTTCAAGAGAAGAAAAAGATACAGCTGAATGGATAGTCCATGCTGCTATGGCATAGAGTGGCCCACATGTCAATCAATGAGGATTCCTCCTTAAATTAGTGGAGAGGAAAAAAAACAAACATTCTCCTATGTTTCATAGCTATAACCTTTAAAATGGATTCCCAGGACAGATCAAAGTCAAACAGGGTGCCAGATCTCTAGGGAGCAGTGATTCCCAGGGCTTACATCTGTGTCTGAAGCATCACCCGCAGAGCTCTCCTGCATGCCATGCGACCTCAGAAATGCTCTCTGGTGTTTGTATTCCACCTCTGAGTCGTACTCATTGGAATCTCTCAGGGTGGACATGCCACTGTCGAAGCAGCTCTCGGGCAGGCTGTCAACTTCACAATTCACCCTCTGCATAGGATCACAGAGGGCCAGCGAGTCACAGTCCTCATCCACGTAGGAAGAGCGAGAGGACCTGGGGTAGAGGAGAAGACTGGTACCTGAGGGCTTCAGTGCTCGAGAGAGACCACACGGACAAGAGTGGACTCAAGACCAACACTTGAACGTTTGCCAAGAGCCACAGTGCATTCCATGATTAAGCATCGGGGGAAATAAAATGTTCGAAGCCATATCGGTTCATTCCATGCAACAGTCAATCAAAACAAAGACACTCAAGCATTTAATAAATGAAAGTATTTTTCTAATCGCCTTTACTAGTATTCCCTGATAATAAAGGTTCCCAAAGTCTAAGTGCAATCTGAAGTTGCATTAAGAAAAATAAATGTAGATCACTCGAACCTTTTTCCTCTAGTGTGGTCAGACCACATTCTGAACAATGCATCCACTTCTGAATAACATCTCTACTTAAAAGGGATGTTGATAACCTGGGGAGGGGGCAGGGAGGCAACAGTGATGACATGAGACTCAAAACCTTGCAAGATGAGAAATGGTTCCGTGCACTCAGCTTAAATCTTAATGCTTTCGCTCTTCAAATAAGCGAAGGGCTGACACTTGAAGAATACATTCCCTCAGGTTTCCCAAGACAAAATGAGGGCCAATTGCTAGACTTTTCTGGGAGTCATATTTCTAAGATGGTGAAAAATGACAATTAGAAACATATGGTCCTGGAACAGTTTGGCGGGTTAGATGAATTTTCTGCCGTGAAGTGTCAACACGCAGTCTGGAAAAACCCCTGCAGGAGAGGTTTCATGCAGAAAGGCCAGAACTTCTGACTTCTGTGGATCTTTCCTTTCATGAAACTCAAACATCTGCTTTTCTATTTTTTTTAACAATCTAGTTTTATATTAAAATACAAACAATGGCTACAATTTTTTTAGTCTTTGCTACACATCGGACACAAGCCTAGCTACTTGGCATACATGATTTCATCAGGAAGGGGGAATGGATGGGGGAGTATATTGGTCTCCAGATATGAGAAATAAAAAGAGATGGGTATGCTTAGAAAAGACAGTGTGGTCTTAATAGAAGTATAAACTATATAAATCTAAGAAATCAAAATATTTTAGTGCCTTTAGCAAATATTTAACATGAACTTAAAAGGTGATTTACCAATATGCTTTATCTGAATATGTTGCTCACTTATGAGTTATTTTTCCTGGAACAGGAATTTCATACCAAATCTAGCTAGCTAGATGTGTATACATTCTTTTACTATTTCATCATTTAGGACACTCTCCTTCTGAAACTGATTTTAGGTTAATCTGTAAGGAACTTAAGAAAATCATTTTCATTATAAAATATGATATAATATAATATAATATAATATAATATAAGGCAGGAAAAGATTAACCAAAGAACTTAAATGCATACATATGTAATCTATGGACGCATAATAGTGTGGTGAAAGCACAGGGTCGGGGGAGTTGGAAGGGATCAATGCGGGGAAGAGGGAACATCTGTAATACTCTCAAAAATAGAGATAAATATTTTTTAAAAATAGAGCTAAATTTTCAATTCCAGTAGCCTCTGTGACTCCTTTAATATACAGCTTATAAACACTAGCCATATTGCTTTTGTTTTAAAAGTGTCCTTTTCCTTGAATATAGCTTACATAATATTATGCTGAGCTATTAAACATTTACCAAGAATCTCAACATAATATACCACAACATTTACCGGAGTTCAACTGGTTTCCCTGAAACTCCCTTTACCAACTCCACTTCTAAGAAACAAAACACAATTAGGAATGAGGTCAAGGTGAGTTTATATAAAACCAAGTCATGACATCTTAAGGAAATCACTTTGCCCTGTCTTCAACACTTTTACTTTAATCTTTACATATTCCATGTTCCAAAATTTAAAATAAGGGTAGAAATACAAATTAGTGCCCAAAATATATTCTATTATTTTAATTTCCCTCTAAGGAAATTTACTCTCCTTTCAACTTTGATCCAGAATTCAAACAAAATGAAAATAACATACCTGTCATAGCCAGGAGGTTGAGGAGAATGACCATTAAATTTCGGACTGCTCCTAGAACTTGTATTCCCTGGCGATGTATTATTTACACGCTGAAATGCATAATTGTTGTTTCATTACTCAGTGTAAGCATTTTGTTTATATATATGGTTTTTAACTTGTAGCACACTAGTTAACTTCCAATGCAATTAAAAGTTTGGTGTCCTACATGAGCAAATGTGAGCACCAAAAATCAAGAGGGAAACGCAATAACTGCATATGGTATTTTCTCCTCATTTGCATCATAAATCTAATCCCTACTACGTAAGCCATAAAGGGGTTCCCAGTGCCCTAAATCTGCCAGGACCTTGCAATATCAACATCTTTTGATTTGTTTCTTCTGGAACCATAATCTAGTTTAGTGAGTAACCTTTCCATACCCCAAGCTATGCCCATGGGACCCCAAACTTGAAGCTGACCCTCAAAAGAGGGAGAAGAGGCTTTCTCATACGCAGAGTCTGGGTATTTTGGAAAATTCTAAATTCCAAAAGGAGCTTAGCTTGTTTCTGCAGGAGGGTTTAAAATCCAAGGCCTCCATCTGATGACCTCAGAACTATAAAGAATACGCAGTGTGTGAACACACTCCTCAACCAGAAGCACCCTCTCACTCCCCTCACCTAGACAGTTTCATTTGTACCTCTGTGGGCTGCCCACTCTCTCTTATGTTACTGCTACCTGTGCACATCTTAACTACATGCCACACTATGAACCTGCCAGGGCCCAGGTCACGCCTGCACATCTTTCTCTGATTTTCTAGACCCATAGTCAGCAATCTGTGACTCGTCAGCCACATGTGGCTCTTTGGCCCCTTGAATGTGGCTCTTCCACAAAATACCACGGCCTGGGTGAGTCTATTTTGAAGAAGCGGCGTTAGAAGAAGTTTAAGTTTAAAAACTTAGGCTCTCAAAAGAAATTTCAATCGTTGCACTGTTGATATTTGGCTCTGTTGACTAATGAGATTGCCAATCACTGTCCTAAGCTACCTAACGAGAGTTGGTTAACTTCTAGACATTTGTTTCCTCAGAGTGGTAGCAACATTTTTTAATTTGGGGAAAATTCCCCTTTTATCACATGGAATAGTTTCTCATGACTGTAAGTTCGCCCAGGATAAAATACAAGATTTCCACCGAAATAGTCTACCACGAGACAGAACACCATGGGTCAGAAATTGGGCTGCATACCAAGGACCTGTTGAACTTGCTGTAAGTGTTTTCGAGAGCACTCCTTAGGCCATCGTTGCTGTCATGCAGCTTCCGGTTAGCTGTTCTGTGGAGTAAGTAAGTAAAACAGAAATCAACGTGGAATGTATCAGTAGGGGGAAGTGTCACCACTTATTTTCCAGGCTGTGATGTTCAGAAGGTGGAATTACCATCTCCTGTAACTTGCTACCTCTTCCCTTCACACCTCACAAACTGAGATCACAATTCATTACTAGAAGCACAACTTAATGCACGCATCACCTCTCTTTAAAGATCTCAAGGGATGTCAGGAAGGTATTCGCTGTTCTGTGGAACTGCTCTTCCCTCTGGGAGCTCTGTTATTTGAAGAGATTTCGTGCAGCTTTCTGCTCACTAAATGCCTGGCCTCGGCTGACAGCAGGAGCCACTCTCTATCCTCCTGCACACAACCCGGCTATGGACCAGGTGTGTGATGATACACTTTTTCCTGGGGCTAAAAAGTGCATCCCACTCCTGGCCTGATGCTGTACCACTGGGCACTGCCATGTACCTGTTAAAGGCTCCAACATCGACTCTGGTTTCAAATCCCAGTTCAGGTGGGAGTTATTTAACCTGCCAAAGCCTCAGCAACCTCTTCTATGAAATGAGGATAACCCAGAACCTCTGTCTTGGAGAGTGGCTAATCTTTCCCCACTGAAGGCTTATTCATACTTCAGGCCTCAGCTCACTCGATGCTTCTGTTGGGAACACTTCCTGGGCCTTCCTGGTTAAGCCAAAGTCCTCTACAGGATACACATCCCTTCCCTTTTGTCCCACCTCTCTCATTTGGCATTTCATATTTCTATTATTATTGATCAGTTTCTGTCTTCTTCCCTAGACTAGCCCCATTAGGATAGAGATTCATTTTTCCTTCTACCTTCCACTCTATTCCCAGTCCCTGACACCTGATCCATAAAAGGTGATGAATGAAAATATGCTGAATGAATGAATGAATAGGATTATGGTAGTATATCAACTCTGTAATTGCCACAGGTGAGACTTGAAAACTATTCAAAAAAGAATGTATCAAAGTGGATCTTAATTCATTGGGGGTAAGTGAACTCAACAGAAAAAAACTGTATGGGTAGAAAACAGAGACAGGGAGTAAAAGGGGGAGTTTTGTGGGGAAGGGCCTCTGACACTGGAATTACTGTAACTCAGCTGTGAAGTTGGCAGAGCAGGTATATTTCCAATAGGATTTTTTTAAACCTAAGAAAAATATACCCCATCATAACCAGGCACTATAAATTGTGAAAGAAGGATCATCTATGCCTGCTGCTGCGACATGCACTACCATGCGATGGCTGATCACCTCTCAGGTGAACTGCAGAGAAAGACACTAAGGTTGCGGCCATTATTCTTGCAGAAGCATAATACAGACATGCTGGACACACCACCTGACTTGCAGGGACATAAGGAATTACACTCTAGTGCCTGGATATTATTAGATTATTTAAGATTAGAAACGACAGACAGCTAAGAGGCTGTGCTAAATGCAGCACAGCTAGAAGATGCACGAGTGGGCATGAGAACCCAGCACCTGTGTTACATGTGGCACATGTGATATTAACAAGAAATAAGTAAAATGTAAATGCAATGAGCATTTTATATGAAAACTTACTGGAGTATTTCAATTTGCCTCTCAAGACTATTTCGATCTTCTGTGTACTCTCGGATTATTTCCAGATCCCTGTAAAATTATAGTTTATGTTTGAATGAGAATTGGGTGATCAGTCCTGCCTTACCCAAACCTGCCCTTTTCAAACTCTTTCTCACCTTTGTAAAGACGTGTGTCCTTGTCCACGGTTTCTATCTCATCTGTGCTCCCACTTGGTTCCTCTGAGCTATCAGTAGTGTCCTCTCCTCTTAGGACTCCACAAACACACCACACCCTCAGCTTCCTTGTGCAAGGTGCTGTTCCACCTTATTGCCCGCTCTGCACCCATCTGCCCTTCCTCCCTACCCCACTGACGTGGCTCTGTCCTCACTGGGAATGAACCCCTGGCCTTCTGCTAAGTCCACTTTCCTCAGTTCTTTGTCAGTTCCAACCCTTCTTTGCTCATTCCAGGCCTTATACAATCCCAACCGCAGCTATTTTCTTCTTTCTTGTGATTCCTTCTGTCCCTTCCCTAACCCTTCTCCTACACTCCCTCCTCTTTCCTGAATCACAGGGAATCCACAGGACCCGGCTTCCTCCATTCACTAAAAACACTCACACACTGATTCCTCTGTTGCTCTATTATGAATCCCTAACCTCATCCTCAAGAAGTCCACTCTGAACACCAGCCACTCACAGCCAGCCCATATTCCATCTCAGCCCCATTTCTAAGCAGACAAACCCCCTCACTAGTTTCCAAAGCTCTCAAAGTAGATATCAATTTTTGTCCACAATAACCTGACCATTTGCTCTTTTAATAAGGCTAAAATTTGTCCAATTGTAGAAAATTAAGTTTGTTCACCAGAAATCTGAGCCCTTACATTTTAGATTTAGACAAGATTTTAAACATTTTAATTTTTTTAAAATTTTACCTTTAATTTCAAATGTATTTTTCCTGCCCACTGGTATAACCACTTTCCCCAAACCAGGCTTATCTGTCCTTATATTTTTGACCCTGTGTTGGGTACTGCCTCACCTAGAACATCTCTTAACTTTCTCTTCCCATCTGTGAAATGGAGATAAGGAAAGTCCCTGTCTCGTGGGATATTATGTGGACTGAGTGTGCTAGTACCAAGTACTAGATAGTACTAGTAAAATATTAGACACCTGTGTTACTTGCTGATGTTACCTTTGCTCCCCTTGACCAACACAAACCTATTCTCCCTCCCAAGATCACCTCAAGTGTCTCTTCGCTTTTTACCTCACTCAAGTAAATTTCAAGTTCTCAAAAAACAGACCACAACTTTTACATTTCATATGCATATATGTATATAGATGCATTTATATTCAAATGTGTGAATGTATATATATATATATATATGCAATTCTCTCTCTCTCTCTCTCTTTCTCTCTCTCTCTCTCTCTGTGTGTGTGTGTATGTGTGTGTGTGTTACTATATACCATAAGTGCCTCTGTGTGTGTTGCTATATACCATACTGCAAATCTAAAGCACAGCAAAATAAAATTACTTGTCTAAGGTGTCTACTTTTCTTACATTGAAAGGCCAAAATTTCTACTTTTAAAGCCCTTATTAACTCTTGACACATTAGATACATTCTTCTGCTCCCAGTTAATTCAATCATTTATTAAGCCTGCACTGTCCTACCCAGTCAATAATTAAATTAATTAATCTGTTTGTATAAAAAATTAAAAACACTAAAAATCACTACAAAAGCTGATACTGATAGTAAAATCTTTAGAAAGCAAAGAATATAGTAGTAAAATTAATAAATAAGCCTTTTTTATTACATAACTAAGTTTTATGCCCATGGATGGTTACCTAAATAAACATTCCATTTAAACTAAAAAAAAAAAATCAAATGTGAAGATTCATACCTTTCAGAATTCAGACTCTGATCAGCATAATCACTTTTCAAAGCATCTAATTCACTCTGAAGAAAGGCTATGTTTGTCTGTGCTTCCAACAGATCTTTCTTAACTTTCTGATTTTCCTACAGAAAGGGAACATTGCACATCATTAGACTCACTTTCTTCCACCTGGGAGAAATGAAATGATGCACAGTTTAACTTTCCCACACACCACTCTCACCCATCCACAAGTCTTCGAATCTTGGTAGTCAAAGAACTAGTTATCAATTCAATGAAACTTGAAATTATGATACAGTATTAAAGTGTCAAAAATCTAAATCCTCAAAGTTGTGTCTGTATTTTTTTTTAATACGACATTTGGTGCCAAACTCAAACACTCAAGAGTTTGTCATTATGTACTTTGACATGCTATTGGCTGCTGGAAGCTAATTCCAGCAGGTCATAAATGCAAAGTCCTCAAAAGATTGATATATATATAAGCATTAACAACAGGTGGGATATCATTAAGGAAACACCTGCATAAATAACACCTTTGGTTGATATTATTCCAAAGACTTTTTCTAACTGTGGTATTAATATCTCTTTAAGCTTCTATTCCTGGAACACTGAAATACTAGCATGATTATGTTTGGGGAACAGTAGTCTAACAGGAAATGTATTTCTGTAAGGGAAAAGGTGATTCTTACCATTGATAAATCATAAATTTGTCTTTTTAATGCAGCCACATCTTCTTTTTGACTTACATGTTTTGATTGTTCTTCTAGCTGAAAGAGCAAATAAAGATTGTGTGTTTACAGACTTACTCTGAATTGATTCAGTTTAGTTTCGGAATATCCCTGCATATGGAAATCAGAATTCTAGAAGTCAATTTTCCATAAGAATTTAAATAATTTAAACATTTGAGAAAAGAGTTTTATTGTTTAATGAATTTTATTTGAAACAATTAGAAAAACCTTCCTGGAAACCATTCAACTCTTAAAACAACCCAATCCTTGCTTTTTCAGTTACATTGCATGTGTCTGGACCTCTATATTCACCTATAACTTTATCTGCACTTAACACTTTCTATCCTGCATTATAATTATTTGTAAGTGTTCTACCTGCCCTGCTAGAGTCTAAGATTTTTAAGAACAAAGTGAGTGTCGTTTCCACCTATGTTTTATTCACAGTGATTTCAAAAAGTTCTTATCAAATGATTGAAATCAGTAAAATTACATATGATGTGAAAGTAGAGACATGTGCACCCTAAAAATTATATCGATAAGTCCATAAGCTCTGTTTGCTGGTTGACTCATTAGTTGTTTCCAGATTAAACTAGCTCAAAAGTGTCTATAACATGGGCAACAAAAATGATTTCCTACAAACAGCTTACACCAGTGAGAATTTGTGGGTGTCCATCAATTGAATATTTATGCACTAATCAAAATGAATGTCTTATGCCATTATTTCTAATTCTAAGTTCTCTGACACTGGGCTTTCATCATCTTTCAGCTGAAGGTTTCACACAGTATGTCATGACTGCACACAATTGACTGTGAGATGAGCTCTTGACTTCAGAGAAGAAAAACTGAGCTGGCAAAATGAGTGTCTCAGCATCAATGGTATAGGTAATGGCGATTATAACAACTGTGTAAACTTCTCTACAGTTCTTTACAGCCTTTAATGTGCTCTCACATAGATCTACACAAGACAAGGATGCCTTTGGAAACATAAAAGTCTTGCCACAGAGTCCAATTTGATTCTGAGATCTGATTCCACCTGCTGCTTCAAAGTGATTCTAAATGTTTTTAGTCACTTATAACTCAGACTCACTGATATCTTGGAGCTATTCCTAAAAGTCTTGCTTCCACATACCTACCTTTTTCAATTTCTTTATTGTCACCTGTAGATCCCCTACTTCTGTTTCATACTGACGCCTGAGGTCACTGAGGGCTTCCTCAGCTTTGCGTTTTTCCTAATAGGAAAAATAAAAGTTACATTGATTCAAAATAACAGGTGATAAATGTCTTGTGTCAAACTAAAAATGATCTCAAGTCTCCTACATAGGGAGGGGAGAAGTAACCACATGACTGCAGATACATGGCCATTTCCAGAATTGGGACAACAAAGGCTCAGGTCAGGCTATTTGCCCAGCACCATCTATAGCCTACACAGGTCAGAGCCAGAAAGCAAACTAAGGTCTAGGAACACCAACACTCAGGCCCCTTTCACTCTATTTGCTGCCTCGGAGAGTTAACAGCTCAAATGAATAGGAAAAAGATGACATGTTTAAAAATAATAATAATAAATAAAGCCTAACACTAGCTACTGAAAGAAATATGCCTAGCCCTGGATGGTGTCATTCAGTGGTTAGAGCATCAGTCCATGAACTGAAAGGTTCGATTCCTGTACATGCTACACCCAGAGGTGGCCTGGTGCTATGTCTGTAAGAACTCACTGAATGAATGGACCCCACACACTCACATCTTTCCGAGTCTTGTGTTCTGCAGCCTGAATCCTCTGATCCATTTCCTCCTCCAACTCACTCAGCTGCATGGCTGCCTTGTCCTGGGCTCTGAAAGGCAAGGGATGATGCACACCTTTTCATTCTCCTCTTAAACTTGTAACAGCAAAACTTCCACTAATCTACCTCACACCTTTTATTTTATAAGTGAGGAGAAATACAACATTCAAAATAATAATTCTGTGCCTTCCACATAATAAAAGAAGGTTAGCAAGGCAACCATTTGAATGTAAAAGGACATTAACACTAGATATTAAATAAATGGAATAGATTAGATAAAATGGCATTCAACTAAATTGTGGCAAAGAACTGATAAAAATATTAAACAACTGGGAAGTTGTCAATAAATTCCAAAAATCCTTTTTTCTGTCCTGCTGAGCTAGAACCCTAGACCAAAAAAAAAAAAAAAAAAAAGCGCTCCAGGGCAAAGAGATGTTTTGAAATTTCATTATATGAAATTTCTGTTATATGCTACAATTGGAAGAGGGGAAAAGGAAGGAACTCAGCAATTGTTACTAATCAAGTCCTTAAAGGTAGAAATGTGAATACAGTTACCCGTTAGAAAATTTCTTTTATTAATGTAATCAATTAATCATATTTTATGGAGGCAGAACATACTGGTTTTCCAAAAAAGTCAGAAATGGGACAAGTCTGTTGAGAATAGTTTCAGGAAAGTTTTACATAGCAATTGCCCCGTATGAAGACATCTACCGCTCTACAATAGTTGAAGCTTCTAAGTGAGCCCTACCACAATTATTTTTTATTCTCTCTCAGCTACATGTCCGAGTATCTTCATTTCACACTCATATATATATATGCCTACTCCACTAGATTATAAGTGACATGAAAGCAGCCACCAGGGCATTTGGAGTTGGTTCACTTGGACCAGTGACATGCAGTTAATAAACAGTAGGGAACCCGAGTAGAAGATCTCCTGTCCTCAAGTTTGCTGAATTCTGCTACACCATCTCACCTGCTCTTACTTCCTTGTGACACAATTTGTTGGTACATCAGTTTAATTTCTACCTCAAGTTCCAAGCAAGCATTGAAGAGTGGGAGTGAGGACCCAAAGGTAAAATTCTGAATGATTTACTACTGTTCCCTGATCCTGTTTACTCCCTCCTCACCTTCCAGCCTGCCCAAGGTTATGTTAACCTGGTACAGAAAGCCAGCTAGTTCTAGTTTGTTTATAAACACCTGCTATTTGAAGCCTAGGAATTATATTTCTCTATAGCAATGTGGGTATTGGGGTTTGCTTGTTTTTTGATGAACCCTGAAACTGTAAAGAGCAACACCACATATCCATTTGTCCCTTTGTTAGGACAGGTTTTTCCAGCCCTTCCTTCGAGACACCCAGTCCCAAACATTGGGGTCCTGGGTTGCTTCTGAATGTGTTCCTTCTGCTTTTCTCACTTCTGAGCAACTTTTACATTTTTTTTATTGTTCAGGCCAGTGGTCGGCAAACTGCAGCTTGCGAACCACATACGGCTCTTTGGCTCCTTGAGTGTGGCTCTTCCACAAAATACCATGGCCTGAGCGAGTCTATTTTGAAAAAAATGGCATTAGAAGAAGTTTAACCTTAAAAAATTTGGCTCTCAAAAGAAATTTTAATTGTTGTACTGTTGATATTTGGCTCTGTTGACTAATGAGTTTGCTGACCACTGGTTCAGGCTATAATGACAGTGTTTGCCTCAGTCATTCCTAGTGAAATGTCTAGGGTTTTGGGAAAGTCTACTTTACCCCAGTCCAGGGCCCCTACCAGAATACTGGGCACCCATTCTTCAGGTGTAAATACAGACCAAGACTCTCCCCCAGTTAAAAAATAGAGGATAAGGGGCCTTAGCGAGGACTGTAAGGAAACGTCCATGGTGGTCATATAAATGCATCAGTGAGGTGTCTTAACAGCTAATAGAGGGGCCTTTAGGAGGCCCAGAGCTCTGACTTTGGATCTCACCCAGAGAGCACAGGACGGGGGAGGAGAGAAGCACCAAGACAGCACAACATAATGTGACATACTGACATACTCCACAGCTGAGGGCAGCACTGGTAATGAGAACAGAAAGAATGCCATTTCTTTTTTCCCTGATGTGTTTACCTGGTACTGCCTTAGAGACCATGTGTGCTTGAGCACGTGTGTGTGTGTGTGTGTGTGTGTATGTGTGTGTGTGCACACGCACACATGTGTGTCCTGCATATCTTTCTGTGGATCTGTATATGTGTGTACCCATGTGTATACATGAGAATTTGTCTATTTTAACAGACACTCACTGGACATTCTGAAAACTCACTATGTCTGTCCACTAGTCACGTCTCAAAGGAGGCAACCTGGGCCTCTGACCAACACCCACATGCTCCAGAGAATCTAGAGTTCTGAGAGCATCTACTGCAAGGCCCAGCAGACCCGAGGGAGAGGATAGGAGCCAGGAAGTGATCGTGTTCATGAGCAAACCCCTGAGAACAGATCAACCCCTGCATGACTATGGGACTCAGAAAATAATCCTACTTAACCTCAGTGTTCTAAAACATGTTCTTTTCTACATTTTCATTCACTCTGGCTACTTCAAAGGGTCAACGGGATAGTTTGATCATTGTGTTGAAGGGAAGAGCAGAGACAGAGGAGCAGCCCCGGCCTGCCCCATGGAGGTGGGGCATCCTATCCAAGGGGCCGATGATCCACACAGAGATGGAGGTGGGCAAGCTCAGAGCTGCTGGAGGAATGCACTGCAGTGAGAAGCCTTTGTGGGGTGAACGGGGAGTAGTGACAAACGAAATGCCCTCTTTCCCAGCATTTGCCAAAGCAGTGTGGCCCTTCCAAGAGGCAAAGAGGCAGATGTTTGGATTGCAACACAAAGAATTCTGCGGTGCACTGGGTTGCAGTTAAAAGCAGTAAGACATCCTGTATGAGCAGCTATGCCTTCCACAAACCAGCTGAATGACTAAGGGCTTAGCCGTGCTCAGCCCTTCAGTTGGGGCTGGGTGAGGGGGCCAGAAGGGAAAGCAGCATCACTGAGCATCCACCCTGCGTAAGCCCAGTGCCAGGCATCCTCCATGATGGCCTCCAGTAAGTCTCCACCCCCTAAGGAGGGGAATAGTTACAGCCTCGTTTTGCAAATGCAGAAGCTGAGACTCAAGCAAAGTAAGGAACCTGTCCAGGCACACACCAGCCAATGACAGGGCCAGGCTTCAGTCAGAGCCCTGCCTGCCTCTCTGAAATGTTTCCCCTACAATTTCAAGTGGCTGGACAAAGGATAACACATCTCTCTGAAGTGTTCTGTATGGAATCATGACCCTGGAGAGTTTAAATGGCAGGATCACAGTGACCTGCTGGTGGACTGCTGACTGACTCTAGGCAGTACTGCTTGACTCAGCTTCCCTCATGCTGCTCAGGTCAGAAGGCCCCAGGTTCCCGAGGATCAGGAAGTCCTCCCATGCCCCGGCGTGACAGTGCAGTTCAAGTCCACGTGGCCCTTGGGTCAGGGAGCCAGTTCCAGGACCCCGTGTGCCACTTAGGAAGGAAGGACTTCAATACCTCTTCACCGCGATGGCCAGGCTTTCCATTTCTGTGCTTTGAAGTTTGATCTCACGGAGGAAGTTCTTGATAACGTGTTCATACGGCTGAATCAGTCTCGGCTCCACAAGGTTGATGTTTTGATACAAGGTACTAACTTGCTCTTTCCTTAAAAAAAAAAAAAATAGTGACATTAAACCAGGAGAAAAATGAAAAGGCAAAATTTCAGAACACTTTTACAAGAGAGACACATAAGTAAAGAACCAAAGAAGAAAAAGGCAGCAATAACAGAATGATCTCATAGGGAGGGGCACAGTCAGAGATGTTAATTATTCTCCACATTTTTTTTTCACAATGGAACAGCAACCTTATAGTTTTTTCCAGCTTTTCTTAGGTATGACTAACACATAGAAATTGTACAGAGTTAGGTTGCACAATGTGAGTTTTAAAATGTGCAATGTGATGATTTAGTACTAGAAGGTGGAGAACTGTGGAGTAGTGGAAATGCATATGAAGGTGTTGATAGGGAAGGATTTTTTTTTCAGTCAATGCTGGGTTTTCTTTAATAGAAAGGTAAATAGGTTTATAAAGAAAAAGCTAGGTAACACTAAAACAATTACTTAATTCCATGTTCCACCAGTCCCTAGTAAGAATATATTTCATATTTTATGATCATAACAGTACATATATCTATTATTGTATGGTCAGTTAAAATTACTTCATATAAATTCACATTTACATATGTATTTAGAAGTGACAATCATCCTATTTATTGCTTAATAACTTATTAAAAGACAAATATTTCTCAGTCATTTCAAAAGAGAAATGTTAAGGCAGGGCAGCTGGCTAGTGTGCCCTGAGTCAAGTCTAGGAGCTGATGAGCAAAGTGGATCCAGTTTGGACCATGCATGAAGTGCCTGCAGTACTGAACTGCCATCACTGCAGCTGAGACTCCCCAGCACATCCAAAGGTTCTCTGGACTGACTGCATCTTGTCCCTCTGGGGCAGCAGACTCCATCGGAGCCTGTGGGGCCTTCCTTCTCTGACCCTGATGGAGAACGTGCTTGCTAATGGGTAACATGAGCTGTGACTGTGTTGTGACAGTAGCAGCCATTTTTTTAAAGAAGGAGCATTTATGTCAGTTGAAAAAAAAATAGTCGGGAATTTAGATAACAGGCACTTACTTGAGCCTGAGATAACTTACCATAATATCAACATTATAGAATTCTACCTATTCTACCTAAACCTGTGTGGGACAGGTACAATCACAGGCATGCTAACCTCATTCACATGCTGCATTCTTTAAAAATCATCTCCAGTGCGTGCATAATTCTCTCGTTCAGCGATCTACCGCTGTAATTTTATAGTTACTCCCCTGACAATGTGAAAAGTCCTCTGTCTCTTGCCCTTGTCATACCTAGACAGATTATTCTTCCCCGGGAGCTTATCTAGGTCTGGCCATTACAGGAATTAGGGCATCTGAGAGCATTCCACAACCATCTCTGGTGCCTAACACCAAAGAAGACCAACCAATCAGAAACCCTTAGCACAATATCCATACCCTTCCACTTGATCTCAACATCAGGGTTTCTGCCTGGTTGCTCTGTTGAAGGCAGCTTGTTCCAATGCTATAGGGGTACAAGAAAGACTATACTAATCCCGAGCCTCAATAACTGAAAGGCTGGGCATACAGTCATCTCCCAACTGGGATAGATGACAGAGGTACATCTAAATAAGTTTTATGATTATAATAAAAATACTTCTATTTAGTGAGTGCTCACTATATGCCATGTATTACTTCTAATCAACTGGCATGCCTCATCTCTTTGAATATTCACACTATAAAGTACTTTTATAAACCTATTCTGCAGATTGGGCAGAACTAAGTAAGTGCCTGTTATGGGCTGAAATGTATCTCCCCAGATTTCTGTGTTGACATCCCAACACCAGTACCTCAGAATTGGAGAGGTCATTAGGAAGGTCCCTAATCCAATATGACCAGTGTCCTATAAGTGGTGGTAATTTGGACACAGACAAACATAGAGGGAATACCACATGAAGACACAGGATGACAGCTATCTACAAGCCAAGGAGAAAGGCCTCAGAAGAAACAACCCAGCCAACACCTTGATCTCAGACTTCAATTGTGAAAAAATGAATGCTTGTGGTTTAAGCCAGCCAATCTGCTATTTGTTACCAGAAACACCTAGACAACCATAGCAGACAATGAAAGTGCCCAAGGTCACATAGTGACTGCCTGACAGAATTGGGATCTAAACTCACTCAGTCTGATGCTGGAGACACCACATGATCAACCTTTGCATCGTATTGCTTCCCAATTGTGTTAAACATCTGAACCCTGGGTAGAAGAAATGGGATTGGAAACTATCCAGAACTATGAAACATTACAAAACATGACCCGGATGTTTAGTTAAGCATGTTGAAGGCAGCCTGTTCTAATGCTATGGGGGCACAAGGTGTGTCCCTATAGCTATCAACTCTCCCAGTTTTGCACATAAATAAACTGCTTGAACTGTGAAGAGGCCAGTTATGATTCAAAATAACTGCTTAAGTGAAATATCTACACTAATAAAAAAAAAAAAGAAATATGCAAATTGACTATTCCTCTGTGACGCCCACCAGCCAATCAGGAGTATGCAAATTAATCCAACATTAATTAATTAACCTTCCATTAAGATGGAAGTTTAATTTGCATACTCAAGCTCAGAGCAGCAGGGAGAGGCTGGATGCCTGCTATGAGGGAGAGAGTAGGGGGTGGAGGGAAGACTCACAGGATCCGGGGCAGCTGGGAGCAAAGCTGGGGAAAGGAAGGCCTATTCTTGCATGAATCTTTGTGCAATGGGCCTCTAGTTATTAATAAACTTGCAGGAGCAAGTCTCTTTGTTTGATAATATAAGACACAGAAAGCTGCCATCATCCCTTTCAGCACAACTGAGTATAAATACTAGTTGCAAAAATGAGCCATATTTATTAAAGAGCAGTTTCTTAAAAATATTCTACTCTTAGATTGTCTCTTGTAATCTCAATCTCAACAGGATCATTAACTTCTTTGCTTTTTGTCATTTACTGACCACCAGCAGGAAACAAAGCACAAAAAACTTATTACCAGAAACCTGCCTGTCAGGAACTTCTCTGAAAGGTCCTTGTTTACTGGCCAACTGCCCAGCAATAAAATGTTCAGAAGTAGATGTCTCAAGAGATTTCCTGACTTCCTGCAAATTTCTAAAATAAGAAAGAAACTGAATAATTGAAAATGCCCTTGGGTCCTACCTGGCTCCTGGCATTATACAGAATTTCAGATATAGTTTACAGTGAAGTGTACAAATCGATTAATAATAGAAAATACCTGCCACTAGCATAAAATATGTCATATGGTTAACAGCTGTGCCAGAAATGACCTGGATACTCCTCTTTCCTGCTTTTTATTACAGGGCACATGGAGACAATTGACTTCTCAGAATCTACTGCTCTCTCCCTGTTCTGGCCAATGGAATAGAAGGAGAAATGGTGTGTTGACACTCCCTTGCTTGGTCCTTACAATCTTTGGCTCAGATTAAATCTTATTCATTCATTCACAGTCTCTCTCTCTCTCTCTCTCTCTCTCTCTCTCTCTCTCTCTCTCTCTCTCTCTCTCTCCTGTCTCCCCGCTCCTTCTCTGCCTCTCTCTTTCTCTCTCCATCATCCTCAGAGCTGAAGTGAAGGACTTCAATATGGCAAAGTCAAGGGATGGCATGTGCTTGGATCCCTGAATCCCCACACTGAGGGGAACTACTTGACCACTCTGGTCTGTCTGACACATAAGCAAAACATAAGCCTGTACTTTATAAAGCCACTAAGACTTGGAAGGTCTGTTATGAAAGTTGGCACTACAGTTTCCTAATATATGTGGGGTTGTTTTTTTTGTTTGTTTGTTTGTTTGTTTGTTTTTGTGTGTGTGTGTGTGTGTGTATGTGTGTGTGTGTGTTTTGTTTTTTTGCCATGCTCTTCCAGATTAGGTTATTTCCTTGATAGTTTCATATGAACTAAGTCATAAAATTCCTCTGACAGAGTAAGTCTTTTCAACCACCATCCACTCTCTTTCAAGGGAACAAAAGATCATTCTGAAGCCTTCATATACTGGCTCAGACATTCATTTAGCACCTGACATGCATTTCTGGAAGTGATTTCAGCTTTTTCATGTACTATTTACTTTATCCTGACAACCAAAGGAAGAAATTGTCACTAGTTTCCTATTTACCATGGAGGAAACTGAGGCAGAGTAAGATAAGTATCATCAAGTAGCAGAGCCAACTCAGCCCATTGAGCTCCAGAGTCTGGCTCTCCAGGGAAGAACTAGCTCTTCAGGCTGAACTGGTTTCAGGGGTCCCAAGTGAGCAGCTGCATTTAAGAAAATTTGATGTAGCAAGATTTTAAAAATTATTTTGGAGGAGGATATGTATTATTACTACAAACTCTGCCCACACTGCAAAGGAACTCCTTTAGAAAAAATAAAAGCATGACTAAGATTAAAATGAGGTAATCTTACAAAACGTGTTTTACCTAAAGCTATTTGGGAAAAGCACTATTGCAAACAATGAGGCACGGCCCCACCCCTCATCTGCCTGTGTGCTTTCATTGCTGCATCTGTGAGAGGAGAGAGCCATCTGGATTATGCCAACAGATTGCAGCATCAGGCACTTAGTGATTTTCACACCTGATGGGCAAGGAGAAACAAAACAAAAACAAACAAAAAAATACTTATTTAGAGCAAGAGATAATACCTGGCCCCTCAATGTAAGATTTAAATGCTGTTCCCTATACAAGCCGCTAAACACTTGCCGATTCTTCAGCTCAACAGCGTGGTGCGTTTACTTGGTGCTGAGACAATCTTTTTTTTTTTTTTTTAGTATATTTTATTGATTTTGTACAGAGAGGAAGGGAGAGAGATAGAGAGCTAGAAACATCAATGAGAGAGAGAGTCATCGATCAGCTGCCTCTTGCACACCCCCTACTGGGGATATGCCCGCAACCAAGGTACATGCCCTTGACCTGAATAGAACCCGGGACCCTTCAGTCTCAAGCTGACGCTCTATCCATTGAGCCAAACCGGTTTCGGCCCAAGACAATCTTTTGTTCCATTCCTGAGAGTGTAGTCACAGGCCTCCCCA